CACTAAAACACTAAATTAACACTTGCGTTAAATTAAAATTGCGCTAAATTAACACTTGCGTTAAATCGGTACTTTATTATAAATTATCCGGCAGCGTCAGTGATAACAACCTTTAAATTAAACTTTTAAAATAACCAAATTAACAATTACTTACCCGAGATTAACTTCCTGCTGAACCACGTTTAGCTAAACTAAAGCGAAGTTGCTCTTGGGAGGCCAAAAAACCACAAAAAACCCTCTCAAAGCAGGCTACTGCCGGATCGGGAAAAAAAGTGGAAAATGTCCTCCCGGCCCCGACTGGCGACCGAGCAAAGCTCCGGAGCAACTGTCCTTTTAAAGTTAATATTACCGATGTTCGATAATATTACCCGCGGGTGTTTGATGCGAAGGACGCAGACAGAAACGCCACTCGCGCCCGCAGCTGTCGGTAACACTCACGCTGTCAATTAACAAGGACAGACAAGTACACACGTAAAAATAAAAGTTAATCAGACATAACTATCAGAAAGACATACCGATCAGACATACCGATCAGAAAGACATATCCATCAGACATACCGATCAGAAAGACATATCCATCAGACATACCTATCAGAAAGACATACCTATCAGACATAGCAATCAGACAGACACACCTATCAGAAAGACATATGTATCAGAAAGACATACCCATCAGAAAGACATACCAATGAAGACATACCCATCAGACATACCGATCAGAAAGACATACCCATCAGACATACCGATCAGAAAGACATACCCATCAGACATACGCATCAGAAGGACATACCCATGAGACATGCCCATCAGAAAGACATACCGATCAGACATACCCATCAGAAAGACATACCTATCGATCAGACATACCCATCAGAAAGATATACCTATCAAACAGAAATGCCCATTAGAAAGACATACCTATCAGAGACATAACAATCAGACATATCCATCAGAAAGACATACCAATGAGACATGCCCATCAGAAAGACATACCGATCAGACATATCAATCAGACATGCCAATCAGAAAGACATACCGATCAGACATATCAATCAGACATGCCAATCAGAAAGACATACCCATCAGAAAGACATACCTATCAGAAAGACATACCCATCAGACATACCTATCAGAAAGACATACCGATCAGACATATC